GCAAGAGAAAAATAAAATAAAAAGAATGAATTGTGACCACAGATCAAGGAGACACTGGTGATCTGAAAGATAGGACCTGTGTGGTAGTGCTCATTGTATGCCAGGGATTGAGAGGGTCCAGTATGTATCCATCTGCTGATGCCAATCAGAGGGACAAACCTAGTAACAGTGGGAAAGACTTACAAATCCTGGGGCAAGATTCACATCAGTGGCTCCAGGCTTACTTGTCTCCCCTCCCCATGTGGATTAATCATCCTTTACTGATTATTGGGCAAGGCCTGCCACAGCTCTCCTGCCCTCTGGATCTTTGTCAGAGTCTCACCTAACTACTCCAGTTCTAGAAGAGCTCACCTGTAAGCTTTCTCTGGGTTTGCAAAGGAGCACCTAATCTAGTGGAAAAGAAACCCCTCTGGGCCAGTATCTGGCTGTTTGTTTCTGGTATCATCGTTTTCTCACCCATAGTTTGGAACTAATTTTCATGTATTTGATTTTGCTGTTTCTTCTGAGTACTGTTGGAGGACTATGAAGCCAAGTCTAACAGCTGCAGCTGGCTGTCATGTTCCAGGTTTATTAGTCAGAGTTATTCAAGGAAACAAAATGAATAAGAGACATTTTATATCTATATCTATATCTATTGGCTGTGGGTTTAGTCACTAAGTCGTTTCCAACTCTTGTGACCCCGTGGACTACAGCCCACCAGGCTCCTCTGCCTATGGGATTCTCCAGGCACGAATACTGGAGAGGGTTGCCATTTCCTTCTGTCCCGGGAAGGGAGTCGTAATAGAGGAAGTTTCCAAACACCAGGGAACCCTCTCACTGGCAGGTCTGAGGCAAATTTTCAAATCTCAGAGGGCAACATAACCGGGAGGAAAAATAAATAAAACCCACAGATAACATGCCTAAAAGCAACTCCCCACAGAAAAGTACCCTAGACGCTCCCATCTGCCACCAGCAAGTGGGGGCTGAACAGAGAGAAGCAGGAAGCATTGCTTAGGAACAAAGGAAGGCCTGAGCAATTCCAGAGAAGAACTAGTTGGCTGTGGACCTGCCCATCCCCCACTGGAGGCAGGAGGCAGTGGGGAGGGGAAAGGGGCAAACTTGGCCCCAGAGATGGCATTCCCTACCAAACTGCAAACAGGCTTCCAGTTTCTAACCAAAGGCTTCCTGAGATTCTGGATGGTTGATATCTGCCGGGAGGGTTGCAGCCAGAGATCAGCTCCCCAGAACAGACACCAGGCACACCCTACTGGCACATACAGAAACTGAGGCTGGGCCTGCGGAGGGGATAAGTCACGCTGCACCCAGGGAGAATGCGCTCGTCAAGCTCCTGACTGCCTGAGCTGCTCGGGCCAGGGAAGGCACAGAACGCAGACCCAACCGAGTCTGAGCTTTTAGAGCAGCCTGGAGCCTGAGCAGTGTAGACGGGGAAAGCACACACACCACGAGCGGGGGCAAACCTAGTGTGGCCGGAACACTGCGAGTGCTCCCCACACACACCAGTGACGTTTGTCTGCAGTGCCCCTCCCTCCCAAGAGCATGGCTGAACAAGCAAACCTAAACAAGAGACCACCTCCACCCGCTTGTGTCAGAGTGGAAATTAGACACTGAAGATACCAGCAAACAGAAGCCAAATAAACCAAGGGAACCGCTTCAGGAGTGACAGGTGCAACAGATTAAAATACCTGTAGTTAACACTGACTACACCAGAAGGGGCCTACAGGTATTGAGAAGTGTAAGCTGGAACAAGGAGCTATCTGAAACTGAACCAAACCCACACTGCCCACAACAGCTACAGAGAAATTCCTAGATATATTTTTACTATTTTTTAATTAATTTTTTTAATTTTTTTAAAATTTTTTTCTTTTATTTTCTTATAAAATTCCCTATTACTCCTCTATTACTCCTTAGTTTTCATTTTCTTTTATTTTCTTTTAAAGTCCTCCATTACTCCTTAATTTTCATTTTCATATAATTTTACTATTTTTTAATTAATTTTTTTCCTTTACTTTCTATTAAAGTCCTCTATCTCTCCTCTATTACTCCTTAATTTTCATTTTCATTTCACTCTGACCTTGCCAAAAAGAACCCTATTTTTAAAGCGAACTTCATATATATTTTTTAAATTTTTTGTCTTTAACATTGTATTTTTAAGAGTCTTAACCTCTACTCTAGATTTTTAATCTTTGTTTTTCAGTATTTGATATCAAATTTGGACATTTAAGAATCCAATACTCAGTACCCATTTTTACTCAGGAGTCTGTTGATCACTCTCTCCCCCTTTTGATTCTCTTTTTTCTCCCCCAGATCACCTCTATTTCCTCCCTCACCCTTCTCTTCTCAATCCAATTCTGTGAATCCCTGTGGGTGTTCTGGGCTATGGAGAACACTTAGGGAACAGAGTACTGCATAGATTTGTCTCTCTCCTCTTGAGTCTCCCTTTTTCTCCTCCTGCCCATCTCTATCTCCTTCCTCCCTCTCCTCTTCTTCATGTAACTCTGTGAACCTCTCTGGGTGTCCCTCACTGTGGAGAAGCTTTTCACCATTACCCGAGAAGTTTTATTATCAGTGCTGTATAGTTGGAGAACTCTTGAGGCTACTTGAAGAATAAGACTGAAATCCAGAGGCAGGAGACTTAAGCCCCAAACCTGAGAACACCAGAGAACTCCTGACTACAGGGAACATTAAGTAATAAGAGATCATCCAAAAGCCTCCATACCTACACTGAAACCAACCACCACCCAAGAGCCAATAAGTTTCAGAGCAAGACATACCATGCAAATTCTCCAGCAATGCAGGAACATAGCCCTGAGCGTCAACATACAGGCTACCCAAAGTCACACCAAACACATAGACCCATCTCAAAACTCACTACTGGACACTCCATTGCACTCCAGAGAGAAGAAATCCAGTCCCATGCACCAGAACACTGACGCAAGCTTCCCTAACCATGAGACCCTGACAAGCCAATCGTCCAACCCCACTCACTGGGAGAAACTTCCACAATAAAAAGGAACCACAGACCACCAGAACACAGGCCACTCCAAACACAGCAATCTAAACAAGATGAAAAGGCAGAGAAATACCCGGCAGGTAAAGGAACATGAAAAATGTCCACCAAGGGAATGCAAACTAGTACAGCCACTATGGAGAACGGTGCAGAGATTTCTTAAAAAACTGGAATTAGAACTGGCATATGACCCAGCAATCCCACTTCTGGGAATACACTCCGAGGAATCCAGATTTGAAAGAGACACGTGCACCCCAATGTTCATCGCAGCACAGTTTATAATAGCCAAGACATGGAAGAAACCTAGATGCCCATCAGCAGACGAATGGATAAGGAAGCTGTGGTACATATACACCATGGAATATTACTCAGCCATTAAAAAGGATTCATTTGAATCAGTTCTAATGAGATGGATGAAACTGTAGCCCATTATACAGAGTGAAGTAAGCCAGAAAGGTAAAGACCATTACAGTATACTAACGCATATATATGGAATTTAGAAAGATGGCAACGATAACCCTATATGCAAAACAGAAAAAGAGACTCAGATGTACAGAACAGACTTTTGGACTCTGTGGGAGAAGGCGAGGGTGGGATGTTTCAAGAGAACAGCATCGAAACATGTATATAATCTAGGGTGAAACAGATCACCAGCCCAGGTTGGATGCATGAGACACGGTGCTCATGACTGGTGCACTGGGAAGACCCAGAGGGATGGGATGGGGAGGGATGTGGGAGGGGGGTTCAGGATGGGGAACACATGTACATCCGTGGCTGATTCGTGTCAATGTATGGCAAAACTATTACAATATTGTAACATAATTAGCCTCAAATTAAAATTTAAAATATAATTTAAAAAATCATGAAAGCATAAGCACTATAAAAAAAAACTTACATGTTAGAAGCAATTATGATCCTCAAGTAAAAATATGTTGTAAACATATACAGTAAATACCAAGTAAAAATATGTTGTAAACATATGTAGTAAATCCCACTTTAATTAGCTTTAGGACTTGTATCTGGTTTCAAGTTGCTAGGAATGTTTGTTAAATATAAAATATTTTAACCTCTAGCTGTTCTCAACTTCAAAAAATAAAACTTTTCAACAGTTCGTTATCTCAATTTTAAATTAAGTTTTAGCTACATATGTGAACATGCTTTCTAGGTCACATGATTTAATCTTACATATTGCCAATAATAAGTGAAAAGTTTGGAATACCTTGCTCAAAACAGAAACATTGTTTTCTTCTTCCAGAAAGTCAGCTATTGAAGAAGATCTTTGAAATGTTTGTTGCTTTTTTCTAAAGCTATAAAGGTTAAGCTGTTGAACTAAACTTTTCATACTATCAGTTTCAAATATTCTGAAAGGGGCCTTTCTTTTTTTTTTTTCCATTTACTTTTATTAGTTGGAGGCTAATTACTTTACAATATTGTAGTGGTTTTTGTCATACATTGACATGAATTAGCCATGGATTTACAGGTATTCCCCATCCCGATCCCCCCCTCCCACCTCCCTCTCCACCCGATCCCTCTGGGTTTTCCTAGTGCACCAGGTCCGAGCACTTGTCTCATGCATCCAACCAGGGCTGGTGATCTGTTTCACCCTAGATTATATACATGTTTCGATGCTGTTCTCTTGAAACATCCCACCCTCGCCTTCTCCCACAGAGTCCAAAAGTCTGTTCTATACATCTGTGTCTCTTTTTCTATTTTGCATATAGGGTTATCGTTGCCATCTTTCTAAATTCCATATATATGTGTTAGTATACTGTAATGGTCTTTATCTTTCTGGCTTACTTCACTCTGTATAATGGGCTCCAGTTTCATCCACCTCATTAGAACTGATTCAAATGAATTCTTTTTAATGGCTGAGCAATATTCCATGGTGTATATGTACCACAGCTTCCTTATCCACTCGTCTGCTGATGGGCATCTAGGTTGCTTCCATGTCCTGGCTATTATAAACAGTGCTGCGATGAACACTGGGGTGCACGTGAAAGGGGCCTTTCTTTCTAAGACTTCTTTCTTGAAGACTTCTTCATTGATCACTGGCATAGAAGTGCCACTCTCATCCCACCAAATAGATTTAAACTGGTCACTTTCAACTATCTTCCAAAGTTTTTGAGGAAAATTGAGTGAAATAAAATCGTTCAATTCATCTGTTTCAGAGACAGAAAATGTGTAACGTGGCATTTCTATCACAACTTCCTCACACAAAGCCTGAAAAGCTGCTTCTTCAATCATAGATCTCAAAACTGAGTCCTCAATAAGTGTGTAATCACACAAAGGAGATCTAATGGAGGTCTCTGAACCAGTTGATTCATCTTTAGGAGGCACATCTTGAATTTCTGAAGAAAAATGTGCCATCTCAAAGAAATCTTTCTTCAGATACTTTTCTCATTTGTCTGATTTTACACACCGAAACTTCAAATGCTGCCTGGCTGGCCTACAGAGATGAATTCTCTAGACCATCACAGTAGTTCTCAAAGTCAAAAAGCTGTGACATCACAAAGTCACTGGTCTCCTGGCAATTGAAGGGTAGCTGTGACATCACAAAGTCACTGATCTCCTAGCAATTGAAGGGTAATGTTCAACCAGTGTCTACTTCTGTGTCAACTTAAATACTGGCTGCTTACATAAATAGCAACCAAAACTATGAGACCTGCAAAATCTCATTCCTAAAGAATTTTTACACAGAAAAATCACATCAACAAATCTACTTGTTTCCTTAAAAAAAAAATTTTATCACCCTTCTATACACACATCCTTATTATTCAGTAGTTACCAAACCAAACTTGGGTCTGCTCACTTCTGTGCAATAAAGTCAATCAACTGACTGTGTATTGCAGTGAAAGCAAGTGTAGTGTTTATTGTTGGACCAAGTAAGGCGTCTTGGCAGCTGGTGATTAAAAGACCCACACTCCCCAAATGCTTTCAGGGTAAGGATTTAACGACAGAGTGAGGGTAGGCCATGGGGTGTGTGATCAGTTTTAGGACATTCTACTATGGCCTGTTACTGAGGACATTGGGAGACAACATCATTGACCAGCTAGTTCCATCTACTGTGGTCTATGTACTTAAATTTCAGCTAAGTTAGGGCTTTAGTATCTCTAATACTGCACACAGAATATTGCTCAGAATATTATCTATGGTCCTTGAGGAGGAACCTAAGATCCTTGACTTTGCTTAATGGCTAAATCCTTATTATTTTATATTGCTTGATTATTTCCCTGTGTTTCTGCCTTTTCTAACTTCACTGAATAAAATTACTCTTGGAACATGAGGAGGTCTACAATCCCCTATGTCTCTCTCTCTTTTTTCATACTTTTCAATATAAAGAAGAGACTTCTTAGAAAAAGAAAGGAAATAAAGGACTTATATATATATATATATATATAAAATTTTAAGCAACTTTATTCAATTGAACAAACTCTTTGCTCGCCCCCAAGTTCCTAAATGAACTGTTTGGGAAGCCCAGTATTACTTAATAATTTTCTGGCTGAATAATTCTAATCTTCCTGAAAAGCTCTCCCTTAATCTAGCTCATCTTCCACTATTCTTTCTGTAATCACAGATGGGGTTCATACTTATGAGCATACCTTGAGCCCATGAAATCGCCACTCACAGTTACTTAAAGATATTATTCTAAGAAAGCTGTTGCTATCCTCACGTTGGATACAATTTTAAACATTCAATTCTGTAATAACGTAGGAACACGTCTGAACCATATGCACAATGTTCAGCTAGCTGGACTTGAGATAACAGCTACCCATTTAATGCGTAAAATGGATGTACAGTGCACGGTTCATAGATCATAATCAGGCTCTTCTGGCTAGCTGAACATTAAAATTATATGATGTAGACATGAGAACCACTTCTCCATAATTCAGTATGTAAAAATTTTCTTTCATCACTTTAAACGTCTGCTACAAAATATTTCAACAGTCATCATTGATGATCAAAATTTATCTCCCTTCATGCCACAGTGGTTCAGCTTCCTGCCCCCTCTCCGCATCATATCTCTTGGATCTTGTCCTTTGTATTTCTATAGTTGCCACATTTGAGAAAATCTAACTAGATAACATGAACAGGCTCAATATGTTATGTTAATGGGGAAATACTTTATAGACTGTGTATTTTATCAATATTTAACCCAGTTGTCACAGAAGCATGACACAACTGCTTCCAGCAGGAAAATTAAAATCAGCAGCATTATATATAATAAGTAACTATCATCTTAGAATACTCTTAGAAAATAATTTCTTATCCTAAACACTGAGGAAAAACAAAGTTACAAGAAAACATTAATTGTCAATGTTGATAGGAAAACACTTGGTAAACAGTACCAAGTACCAAACAGAATTCTCAGTATTACAAAAAGTAAGATCATGACATCTGGTCCCACCACTTCATGAGATATAGAAGGGGAAAAGGTAGAAACAGTGACAGATTTCCTCTTTTGAGGCTCTAAATTCACTGCAGTTGGTGATAACAGCTATAAAATTAGAAGACAGTTGCTTTCTGGAAGAAAAGCTACCACAAATTTAGAAGCATGTTAAAAAGTGAAGACATGACTTGACCAATGGAGGTCCACAGAATCACATCTTTGTTTGTGCCAGTAGACATGTACAGATGTGAGAACACCTAAATGCTCTGCCGGGGATGACTTGTGATTGTCCATTGGATTGCAAGGAGATCAAGCCAGTCAAACATAAAGGAAATCAACTCTTAAGATGTGTTAGAATCACTGACGCTGAAGCTGAGTCTCTAAAGCTTTGACTACCTGAGCAAAGAACTGACTCACTAGAAAAGACCCTGATTCTCAGAGAACATTGAAATCAAGAAGAGAAGTGGGTTAGAGAGGAGGAGGAGGTTCTATAGCTTCACTTATTCAATGGACATGATCTCGGGCAGACTCTGGGAGATGTTGAGGGACAGAGAGGCCTTGTGGGCTGCAGCCCAATGGCTCGCAGAGTCAGACATGGCTTTGTGACTGAACAACAACAAGATTTCAGTTAATAAAATGGATCTTCCAGGGTCGTGGTTAGGTCTCAAGATGTTAGAGGAATAGGAGGCACAGACCACTTTCTCCCACACAAATTCATCAATGGATCGACTGCACATGGAACACCTTCCAGAAACCAACTTGTGAATGATGTTGATAGGCCCTAGAAACCGAAAAAGGCAAACCAGTCTCTTAGAAAGGAGGTAAGATAAAATAAGAGATATAAAGAGAGGAAAAGTTTTTAGGGATGGAGACCAATCTTGGAGAGAGAGTCATGAAGGAAGAGAAATTTGCACAAAATAGGAAACCCTCTCTCATAGGTGTCAGTGCGGGGAGAAACAGAACTGTGGGCGGGGGGAAGGAACAAAAACACAGATTATGTCAGTAACTGCAGCTACCAACCAAGAAGTGGCTCAGATGCTCCCGTCCACCATCATTCAGTGGGGCCTGGGAGGGAGGCCTGGGCTGTATCAAGCACACTATGGTTAGAACCAGTACCCTGAGGCACTTTAGTGCCCTGAGGACAGTCTGATGCAGCTAAGGTGACATAGAGAACTAAACCATGAGAACACTAGAGACAAAAATTTTAAAAAGGACTTTTCCTGAGAGAAGGCTCTAAGACCACATAGTGAACCATGGCACACTCACAGAACAGAAGACTGTGCACTAGAAAATACCAAAGGAGACCTAGCCAGCTTCCATTTAAGACCTTTTCCTCCATGGAGGGAGAGAAGAATGTGTACGACTGCCAGAGCCAGAAGGAAATAGGCTAGTGGTATCTTGGCCCCAAAGACATCTCCCACAAAGCTCTAAGCTGGATGACAGTTGCTAACCGTGAATTCCTGGCTTCATGGACAGTTCACATAGACCAGGATCATAACAGCCTGGGGTCAGCTACCCTGAGGAGACACACGGCACAGCTGAGATTGTGTCCTCTGGCACAGGCAGCAAAATGAGTGTCTGGGACCAGAGAGCTGCATAAGATGCATGGCCCAACTGGGACAGTGCCTTGCCCGCCACACAGTCACCTGAGTTTTTGGACCTGGGAAGAGCACAAAGCACATAGACAGTCATGGTCAGGGCCCTTGCCGAGCACCTAAGTGCCTGATTGCCTTAGACCTGGGAAGTGCATGAAACACAGGGCCCACTTGGGACAGTGCCCTCGTGTTGCAAATGGGACACTGAGATGGGTGGACCCAGAAAGGGCATGTCACATTTGTCAGTGGCAAGTCCAATGTGGTTCATCCACTTCAAGCACAACGACATATCCCAGTGGTATTTGTTTTCAGTGTCCTGCCCCTCACCACCAAAACACTGAGCAATTGAGGTTGAATAAGAGCCTTCCATACCCCTGTTCATGTTAAAAAACAGACATGGGAGAGGCTTTCAAATAGAAGAAGAAAATATTAGCAAAGTGTAAACCAACCCAGAGGTGACAGGTTCAATGGAATAACAGTCTGTAGTTAATGCCGAGACTGTTCACTTGAGGGACAACAGTAGCCTTTGACAAGTACAAGCTTCAACAAGAGTCTATCTGATGCTTACTGACACCACAAAGCACAAAACAACTTCTTAGAAATTCTGAGATCTATTTCTATAATTATGATTTCTTCAAATTTTAAAACTTTTAGTTCTTTATTATTCCCTAAACTTTTATTTCTATTGACTATTATTACCTTTCTAAAAAATAAACAATCTATTTTTTAAACATTCTTTTATATATATATGAGAATGATTTTGGTCTCTTTTTTTTTTTTTTTTACGCTATTTAAACAAGTCTAAATTTTATTCCTGGTTGTTAACTTCTGCTTTCCAAAATTTGTTATCAGCTTTGTAACTTTAGGAACAAAATCTTTAGGATCTGTTTTCACTTAGGGATTTGTTTCCTGAGTTGATTGCTCTCTCCACTTTTGACTCTCCCTTTTCTCCCCCTAGGCACCTCTATCTTCCTCCTCCTTTTTCTCTGCTCTATGTAACTCTGTGAATCCCTTTGACTGTTTCTGGATGAGGAGAGTTGTGTCACCATTAACCTAGGGATTTTAACTTCTGTATTGTGTGGATGTGGATTTTTGATGCTACTGTGACTTGGGGACAGAAACCCAGAGGCCAGGACGTTGATTCCGGAACTTTAGATCACCATAGAACCCTTGACCTCAGGGAACATTAAAGGACAGGCACACACCCCAGAGTTTCCATGCCTACATGGAAAGCAAGCTCCATGCTTGAGGCAGCAAGCCCAGTACAAGAGACTCCACACCTATTCTTCAGCAAAACAGAAACATGACAGTGAATATTATAAAAGGGGCTGCCTGAAACCATGCCAAACCCACAAACACCCCAAAGCACAATCCTGGAAAATTCA